AATACCCATTGAGTGAACCGTTGAGTGATCATTTTTGCCTGATAAGAATAAAGAATCTATTTGTCCCTTATTACAGTATGTTCAATAAAATATGTTCAATAAAGTCTATAAGTGTGGAATAAATATGACAAATCAAAAATAATTGAAATGCTTCGGCACTTATTAATTGAATTACAAATAACTTTGCACATTTAGTGGTCAGCCATATGATATTACGAAATATAACACCAACTGGACCGAAATAAAGCCGACCGAATTCTATATAATCATCATTAATCATTACACCAGTGGCGCATGAACATTGAAATATATTACCGAGGTATATAAATATAATCTCAACCTTACAGCGTAAGACAGAAAGTTCATTTAAAAGTTAAATAGAAACGTCTAATTGCAGATGAAATGAATCTTTACCTGACATTTAGTTTTCAAGCGATATATGAATTATTCTTGAGGGGTTTGATGGCATAGAGGTAAGCGCGTTCAGTTTGCGATGAGGAAGTTCAGTAATTTTCGCAAGGGCCAGTCATCCTTTGGGATGGGTGACCTAAAATTTAATATCTTGTACGTGTGTCGGAAGGCATTGTAAGTCATAAGTCCAGGCTCAATACTCAATACTTGAACATTCAACACATGTCAAATATATGTGTAATTTGATGTTATAATAATATAGTTGCTAATGAATATCTATAACCCTATAGAGTAGGACAATTTAAAATATATAATTCAGTAGTTAAACAATATCTTGCTTACACAATATAGGTACATTAATACAAGTCAATAGTGAAACACAACATGTAAACTATTAATACATTATTTTATTTTTTTTATTATACGTTTAATGTCATTTAAACCGTCAAAATTCTTTGAGAGAATAATAACACTTGTCGATGAGAAAACCCCTTCAGTTTTAACTTAAAAGTAGCTAAGCTATTATTGGCTTTACGTATTGATACCAGTATTTTCTTATATATACGGGTTTCATTACAAAATATGCTATCACTTAAAAGCTTTGTTTTATTTTAAATCATACGAAGCTTATCTATGTGGCATGCTCTTGTGAAGAATTCAAAGATTTCTATGTTATATCGTGTAAATAAGGTGCATTCAAATATATACATACATCTACAGTCGTTATTTAGTTGTCGCCCAACTATATTTTGGTAACTTTACAACTCATCTTACAAGACAGTAAGGTTCTTAAACCTATATAAATGGTTAAAGATGTGTTTATTTATATATACATTTTATTATAAAAAGTGGGATATACGAAAACTAGCTAATATAAACAATAGAAACAATGATTTGTACCTCTCTTTAGATTATTAGTGTTGTGATCTTTAGAACTTTACTGTCGATTCGGATTCGATGTCGATACGAATGGTCCGTACCATTATCTCTAAAAAACTCAAACATCACGTTTGTTTTATGGAACGTCTAAAATAAAACCTTTAAATATATTTTTTTTCTGTTTTGATATTTGTTGCTATAACGACAACAAAAATACATCATCTGTGAAAATTTCAACTATCCAACTAACAGAACCCATGTGAAACAAACTGGTGACAGACGGATAGAGAGCAGTCTTAGTACGGAACCCTGAATACTGAAGTCTAAAAATATCAAATTTTGATTTGGTGTCACATAACTGTATTCTTTTGTTATATGTAAACTAAGAACATAAGTATGCTACAGTTTACTTCTGTTATCTTAGGTATTCATCTAGTTTGGGTCAACAGAATTTACTCTAATATCGACGCGAATACAACTTCTCTACTTAAGCTCCCTAAAAAGCTGTTTTGTCGAAGAATATAAATAATCCGTTGAAAGATTTACCATTTACTTATATTATATTGCTATAAAGGTTATAAATTGTATATAACATCAAACAATACAGAATGACCTTCGCACCGTAATATGAGGGGTTTAGAACAATCATTAGATCGATACTTAGCATCATTTAGAAAGGTTGCATTCTTTTGATCTTACTTTTAGGGTTCAATATAAGAAATTTATATCATTACCAGACCCATCTGCTAGGATTTAGAATGTAATGACAATTATGGGTAAAAATAATGTATGTTCTTCCCCAGGAATCAAACTATCTCTATGTCAAATATTATCACACATAAAGAATTAGTTTGGTAATTCAAAGAGGAAACGCAGTCTTCTGGGAGCATCTTGCCTGTTGGTAATGATTTGGGGTTTTTTTTTTATCTAGTATATTTTTAGTCATAGCATAGGAGAGTGATTAATATTTTGCAAATATTTAATAAATAATGATTAATTTACAAATATTAGTGTTAATCCTAAGAATTGCTTTGACAATAAAAACCTACAAATTTTTAAGTTATTTTATTTCTTTTAGTTATCAACTTATCAGTCAGGCGTCATACATCCATCATATTCAATATTTAAAAAATATATAGCCTATGTCATTTGAGATGATGTAACGTTTCTAATGACATCCCTATACATTAATATCCGTTTAGTCTTTCAAAAGTTATGGTGGAATAAAGACAATCACATATACTCGTATACCCTAAACAATTGCACTCCTTCTTGTGTGCAGTTGTAAAAAAACTGACAGGATTGATGATTCAATGCTCAGCTCAAATTACTGAAATAAGGCACAGTACTAGCAGTACTACCAGTCGTCATCCCTATTACTATTGTACCTACTACAATATCGTGTTTTGCCTAACCTCATTCGAAGTGACGAAAAGACATTAACAGGGTAATTTTTCAAATTACGTAGTGATTGTAACTGATTTCTATTTTTTTTTAATTACACAACATCACATAAATAACTTAGATCCCAAAATAAAGTAGCTAAAGCTCTTGTATTTCGGAAATCTAAAGCAAGGATGGTTTCACAACATTCAGTCCCCAGGTAACTTAATAGAAAAGTTGTGATATCTTGGAACTGGCATAAGCATCACTCAGCCACGGCGGTTGTGAGTTTTATACTCAGAGCTAGCTGACGGAGATAGAAACGCAAGATAGCAGCATCAATTATATCAAGCCCGAAATTTTGAGTGAAGGCGAGAATTTTTATGGACAATTATACACATCTACATGGGTTACTCTTACTAAAGTGGCCAAAGACCTAAGAGTCAATTAGCTTGTATGAGATCATAAGTAACTTAAGAACAACAAGGTGCCGTAAAATGCCAATGCTTAAAATCTTGCGACCACAGACTAGAAAACGAAGAGGAAAAAAGGGAGACCCTTAAAATGGACTAGAGAAGTAATCAGGATTGCTGGGACCGATGATCGTGGAGTTGGGGGGGGGGGGAAGCTTTTTAGGTGGTGCTATCTAGTTCTTATGATGATGTGGATTCCTTAATTTAAGAGTTGATTTAAGACAGAACAATTTTGGTTAGTGTTATTGTGGTTTTCAGTTTTCCTGTGCATTCATTTTTTATTAGTGTTAAATTCCTTCTATAGATTTCTGACATAGAAAAGATAATTAAGTATTTATTAAAAATATTTTTGTCATTTTCATAACTTATTAGGATTTCTTTGATAAAATGTATGTTAGAAATTAAAAAAAAATAAAAGATGTAGAACAATGTTTATTATTTGAACAATTATTTTTCAAGGCATTTTCTTATTATTTACAAGAACAATAACAATTCTAGAACTTAGTTTTTTATATTATCATATCTTCTATCAAGAGTATTTTTTTAATCTTTTACTTTGTTAAATATTGTTTAATCATGTTTTTTTTTCCTTTAAAGTTGACTTTTTCACTTGCACGTTTATTTGATGCGGCCGTCGATAATACATACATATGCAGACACACGTGCGTGGTCACGCCTATCACACTATAAGATTAACACACATGCACTGATTTATTATAAAATATATTATTTTATTTATATTTCAAGATATCAGATTTAATTTAATGTAAATCTGATATCTTGATATATTACATTTAATGCACCTAATATTTTTTTTTTTTATAAAATTGAACTGCATACTTATTTATGTTTTGATTGTACATTGTAACCGCGGTATCATGGTGACCAGTACACAGGCTTCGGCTGAAACCAATTTGGGGTTATGAATTTTAAGACTTATTAATTCAGAAAGGATTTTGAAAAATTTTACAGCTAAATGAATACGGGTTTGAAATTAGTACAAAAAATTGTCAATTCCTAATTAATAATCAAGCGAGCGAAGCGGGTGGACTCCTAGTTCTTATTGTATTTTTCTCCCCAGAGCACTAATTAAGTGTGATGGAAAGTAGCTTTAAGTTAATCCAGGCTAAGAATTATCCATACACCAAATATCAAAATCGACACAGTGATATTTTCATGAAGAAGTAATGAAATAAGACTAATACTCAACGTCGAAAACAGCGCTGTCACATTATAGAGCTTCCTTCATCAGCAACAGCCGCACGACGCCCACTGCTCCATTTGTAAACGTTAGATTACTAAGGTCAAAGGATGTGGATCTATAAAAGTCTATAATTATTACGGTTATACAGCTACCGGTGAACAGAGATTCAAATTAAGCGATTTGTCGGCTGGTTTACTCAGAGCAATACGTTGTTGAAATTATGCTGGATTAAAACATTGATAAGTCAAGAATATATTCCTGGTGATAACAAGAGTGCTCCCGGCTGCATCTGCAGTTCTTAAACACCCAGCACCAATATGCACTGGACTAACTCGTATTTGCTGAGTGATTTTATGTTTTTGAGGCCCGTCGGTGGAAAAATTAACAAATTGTTAATGAAGTGAGTTCACTTGTGATGTATTTATTAGGAATTAGTTAAGTAACGTTTTCAAAGTTACTGTATTATAAACGGAAATATTTTTTATTGTTTGTTTTGTATTGAATAGCCTCCGAAGCTATTGGATGATTTTTCAAAATACTTGACCTATTTGCTATGGATGCTATATCACAATAATTTACATGGACGATGTCGCGAGAAATCGACTAGTAGTGTTTTATTTAGGAAAAGTAAGGTATTTGCTGTTTCAAATTTCAACAGAAAATAAGAAAGCTATTTAAATTAAAAAGATGGGATAAATATATATACATCCTCCTTCACAAAAATCTAATATTAAATATTTGGTAACGACATTAAATTAATACATTCAATAAACTTATTTGGGAAAAATAAGAGCTTTATCGCATTTGTTTGTATCATATTAATAAAGAACTAATTGGGTACACTTTATTTTTTGATAACATTGACATTGGTAATGACATCGATCATCTTCTAGAGAAAGAACTTATTTAAACACAACTAAAAAATTACATTTTGCTATAGGCACGATGAAAAGACGTTTTTTAGACTAACTAAAATGCATGAACGGGTGAACGGATTAGGCTTATTTTTTAAATACTCGCTAATAAGGTTAAGTAAGGCCCTTTAAGCTTCAATAAGGTTTAATGATAAAAAATATGAAGGAATTGTAAGAAAAATAGTAAAACAAAAGTTTTTATTTTTCATTTTACTCTGTTATCTGTCATACTCAGAAATCAGAAACTCAGAAATCAATTAATGTTAATATCTGAATGCACCCTGTGTAACAGATATGAATAGTAATTTATTTCAACTTATTAAATTCAGAGACGTTTACCGGGACATCTAGACTGGAATAAATAACAATATTTTTGACAAATTCCATAATTTTTGTCAGTTCGCAACAATAACATCTCTAATAATAGAATTTTCTGAAAATATTGATAGTGCTATTTTAATAATTAAATTAACAAACATTATAATAACAAAATTTATATTTCCACATAAATTGAAAATAACCGAACATATTAGCGGTGAAAGAAACTCAGTACAAAAAGAAATCATGTCACAAAAATGCATTACGCAAAAAAAAGAACTCTAATCTTCACATATTTATTGGGAAAAGAAGGTTCATTATAAACTAGAATGAGTTTTGTAACATAGCTGTGAGAGCGCATATATATATGAGGGGAAGCTCTGTCTGTTCATTCGTAGCTTCAACTTCGACCCGCCACAACATATTCATAATGATGAAGCTGGTGAGGTTTTTTTAAGATCCTATCTCTGGGCCTGAAGCGTTTCGTAATAGTGATGTATCGATTCTTTAATCGATATCGATCGGTTTTGTAATTAGATAGAAAAGGCCATCTATTTGTCAGTGACGTGTTTTTTTTTATTGATAATATTGTAGTCATATTTTCTTAGTTGTTATCTAATACAAAAGTGATATAAGTTCTTTATTTTCCAAGTGTATTTTTCTAAACAACATCGTTCTAGTTATATTTTTTTCCTATAGATATAAATTTATGAGTATTTTTCTTATTTGGTGAATATTTTGCTTAATATTATTGAGTTAGAAAATTATGGATTTCATTATACTTTGAAGAGATGGCGTTTGTGTAATATTTACCGTTTTTTTCACTAATATTAATTTATTACTGTACCTATAGCTCGTAAGCTCATATAACGTGTTTTGGAATCGATTTTAATTCTAGTCTATTTAGTTTGTTATTAGATTGCTAGGAATTTAGATTTAATTTTAATATATTTTACACAAACCTGAAGTGCTCAGGTGTGTACTTAACTATAGATTCGGGTGGTTTTATATAAAAAAAAAAATATTTGCATATGTTAAAAAAATGTTTGTTGACAGCCAAATGGAATTAAAACTATTGTTTAAGCATTTTGTATTAAGAATATTTTTCAGTATAGCATTGTGAATGCGAAATTGATAAAATATATCAATATTCAGTTATATATCAGTCCGGTTTACAGACGGTGGGCTATAATTTGCATAATTTGAGAACAATAGACCGGTGTGGGTGCGACATTGACATCTTCAGTGCATAATGTTTGAAGATCTTTGTGTACAAGTGTTGTGTGAATTTTGAAATACTTCAAATAATTGAGAAGTTTCTAAACAAAATCAGTGATTTCAAGATTTTTTTTTGTTTGAACGCTTAAATCTATTATTTTACGGGTTGCCGTTGTAGAGTAGTAATAAATAGGAGCTCTATGATGTTATTGTAACGTTTGGTGTACGATTGCGAAGGTGAATGGGTGAATGGGAAACGTGAATGGGTGACAAAAATTTACTATCCCGAAATCCTCTGTAATTCGCAAAGCAAATTTTGTTTCAGTCGCACCAGTCAGTCTTCATTGAGCCTGAGTTTCTTGTTGACGTGTTCCATAATAATGTACTGATGATAATATGTCTGTTACAGTTCTTGATCTCCGCTCTCTTCGGCATTGCCGCCGCTGGCTACGCAGCCTACCCTGAGCAGTCGAACCGTCCTCAGGCGTCCTTCGAGAAGAATGCCAGGATCATCGCCCTGGACTCTGATGTGAAGGAGACCTCGTTCAGATACAACTACGAGACCGAGAATGGTATCAAGGCTGAAGAACAAGGACAGGAGGTGAGTCGGTAGTGTAAAAATAAAAAAAAGAAGGCAGGTTTTATGAATGCACAGAACAGAATGACAATTCTTCAGTTAATTATGTTCTTGTCTTTGTTTCACTCTCACATTTCCTTTCCTTTATAAAAATTTGATAGAATAAATTACCACATAATTGTTGTAGGGCAAACGGTGCCTAAAACGTAACAGAGGTAATATTTAATTCATAATATTAGTATAATAAATACAATTTGAAACATCTCGGGTACTATCTCGTGCAAGTACGATTTGACTTAATTTTATGAAGTTTGCTACAAAAAAGGATAAGAGGGTTTAATATATAATTTGGACTCTGCCTTAAGTTTCCATGACACTAACAAAGATCACCTGTGCAATTCTAGTCACGACGCAAGTTTCGTTTGCACTCATTGAAGTTAAGCAATTTTCGTAAACACTAGTTAGTGGATGGGTGACCGAAAGTTCACTATTCTGACTGTTGTTTTATCATTAAATTAAGTCACGATATCACTCTGAATGTCAACGAGTATACGTAATAGTTAGAAACGACAAACTGATAAGCTTCGACAAGTCACGCTATTCATGTGAGAAACTTTCTACATTGCACTGAACAATTAAACATATGAAAATTTCCTGCTAAAAAAAAATAATATTCATTGAAGCACCCGAGATCTTACAACTTCATCTACATTTGATATCGGAATCTTTATTATTAAAAAAGTAAAAAATATTAAGCTCTATTAGGTTAGGTTAGGTCTAATGAAAATTAGGGATACCATAAGTATTCTAAAAATAAGACATTGGACGCGACGTCGAAAATAACGTTGTCACATTGATATTCAATCAAATAAAACTCTTGGAGTCTTTGGAAGTAAGCATTATTTATCTAATACTTCACAGTTCTGTATTCTAACAATATCACTGCTAGTCTTCCTAGCAGTGAATATGAAAGTAGAAAAAGACAGACTAATTAATCATATTTCTAAAAAGAGTTTTATTCAAAAGAGTAACACATTTAACCTTGGACAGTTAATTTATAAACAATCAACATCAAAATAATCTTAAAACAAAACAATTCAAGGGTCACTGCTGTGTGTGTGAGATTGTAATTATTATGATAGAGTCACGACTATAGCTTGATTTACTTATTCAGATACGGTACATTACATTAATGATACAAACGTTGGAAACAACCAAATTCATAGCGAATTATTAATTTGCTTAGATTTTGTACTTGAATGCATTACGTAAATCAATCGTGAAATCTAAATAGACTTTATTAAAATAAGCTTTTATAAAGCACATTTGATTCGTCTATTATTTAATCTGCCATCTGTTCGGATTATTTTGTGGATAAACGAATAAGTTGGTAACACTATTGGCAAATCAATAATTATCATTATTTACAATTTAAAGTACATATCAAAATAGGAAAGTGATATGAAATATCGTCATAACATCGCTGAACAAATTTCAATACAAATGCACGTTGAAGCAGTTGGTTACGGCTGCATTTGCAGACGTGAATACTCTCCAATCCATATTGGGGCAGCGTGGTGGATCATGGTCCATCCTCTTTAACTATCCATAAGGAAGACCTGAGCCCTTACAGTAGGTACGTATAAGGGCTGATGATGATGATGAAGTTATCTTCACGAATTTACGTTATTTAATGAATGATATTTTTTTGTTATTAATTTCCAACTTTGATTTCAGCAGTTGATATATTGTTGAGCATACATTAAAATATATAAATACTATTCTTCGATATAGATAACAAAATAAAGCTAAGTTCAGTTTCCAAGATAAATGAACATCTACTGACAGATAGATTGACGTATTTTACAGCACGTAAGAAAATTATATAACGTGGGACTTAGTTGACCTATAAGTTACTTTATTTCTTAAACTGGAACCTACAAATAGAATAAATGTGGTCATTTTGAAATCCAATTTACACAAACAATCTGTTAATGCATCAAAAGATTTTTACATCGTTATTTTTTTTATTAAGGTTTAGATATTGAAATTCAATTCAAATTCATAACTAATAATATAGTGACGTTAATATTTATTCATTCATTTTTATACATCCATCGAGCGAAAATGTAGAAAGTCTAGTTGGCATACTATTTTTATGAATAATTTAATTTGATTGCTTAGGAAGTTAAAGTGATTACTCATCCTTGCATAAAAGTTATATTTGCATAACGTTATTTCAACCAAATTTGTTTGAATAATAATCACAAGATCGGAGTTTAAATGACGTAGATATCGAAATGATGAATTATGAAACTTGACAGAGATTACTAGCAACTGGGCAAGCAAATCTGCATACTAATTTGAGACGTCAAACTTACAAGTTAAATAATCCTTTGTTATATGCCAAAATGCTACTTTAATTTGGTACTACACAAAATTTCAAATGTAATACAGAAAATTTGTTTTTTTATTATTAGGAAAGGATTGGAACTGGCTGGTTAAAACAAGGACATATTTTTAGTCACACTGAATATGTAGTCGAAGTAAAGAGCACAATGAGGAATATATCTTAACCTCGCGATGTCTCATAGTCATTTATTTAATATAAATACCAATTTAACGTCATATTAAAATTTATTATACCGAAACTGTCAAACAATATTACAACAACTCAATCTAGAGATACATCGTAAACTTAATTTGAGTTTATAACCTTTAATTAGGTAATATGCGAATTACGTTCATAAAATTGAGACGGCAAACAGAAAGATTTTCACAGCATTGTTTTAGATACTCAAAAATAAATACACGGTAGTTGAATTCTCAAGAATAAAATACAAGCAGTTGTTAATATCACTCTCAATATCACCAATATGATGTGACTGACTCACCTTGGTAAGGTTATTTGTAAGACAATGGAATAGAATGGCTTGTAATTTACAAAACTCTGATATTTTTTAATTCTTTGTTTCATCATTTTAATTTTCCGAGATGTAGAATAGGTAGCAGTGCTTGTTTTAAAGTTAAACTAATAAATGTTTATTATAAATTGTGAAATTTAAAATTGCAATCAATTAACAAAAATCTAAATTGATATACACTGTTTATTCAATATAATGTTCTGCACTTCCAGGTTAACGGAATCGAGGCTCAAGGTGGTTTCCAGTACACCGGTGATGATGGTCAGATCTACTCTATTAGCTACGCAGCTGGGGAGGGTGGTTTCCAACCCCAAGGAGCTCATCTGCCTACTGCCCCACCCACGCCTGAGGCTATCCTGAAAGCTTTGGAACAAAACGCTGCTGATGAAGCCGCTGGTATTGTTGATGATGGTAAGTAATCTAAAATTCAGTATAAATCTAATAAATAGTGCATTATTATATGTCACTACAAATGAAAAATTCGAATTTCTCGGTGAAACAGCAAATATCAAACAAAGCTATAAAAATCCAAACTTCTATCCGTAATCATTCATGGCATCTTCGTTATTCTTGCGTAATATCTTATTACCTCAGTTGACATTACATTGAGCTTAGAGAGATCAATTGCTGTATGTGTAAAAGTTGCAACAAAGAATTACAAATGCACAACACTCTCCCACGGTTACACAACATCCGAGTAAAGTGTAGGCATCAAATTTCAAAACCCAAGCAAAATCATGCCCACGACTTAATTCTAATAGTTAATACGAGGAAAATGTTTATTGCAGCTTAATACATCTCTCGGAACCTTTAAATCGTTAGTTACAATTATCAGTTCCACCAGTTGCTAATATATACTCATGTTATCAATAATTTATACTTAATACTCTTGGGAACCAGAAATTTAATAGGATGCGTTAGTTAAGATGAAGAGATAAGTGTGTTGCGACTACGAAATTGATTGCTATGAATTTGGGCGTGTATTAGATTTTATCAAGGAGTTATAATATCTTTATAAATATAGTTATAACAAAAGTATAATCTTTACTTATCAGTATTGCGTGTATCTTTTATCTTGTGAAACACATATAATTTATTTTTAAAATGTTTCAAAATCAAGAAAAGTGAAGTGGAGTAAATTATTTTGTTTTTTCACATTATCACTGCTTTTTTTTTAAGAACGACACGTGTTATACCATTCCATTTTTCGATTCCAATTCGGATATTACGAAATGATTTCATAATAAACATACTGAAGATTATGTTTTATCAGTGTTCAGCGTTTTTATAAATTAATAGAAAATAGTAAAGTATAAATTTGATTCAAATATTGATTTACTTTTTATTATGGTACCAACGAAATTTATTTCAATTACAATTACCTCATAATGATAGAATGAGATAGTATAACAATTATTTATTGACTATCTGCGATGTCAAATTTAGAAGAGTCACTAATTTGACCCCGTAAATGTTATTTTTCATTGAGTTGTTTTTTTCTTCTGTAAGTCATCGTTCTTTACTCTCACTTCACTCATATCACTGTCATAACAATATGACACTATAAATTACCTAGACATTAAATAATAGCATCACAACCTGCACTAGCTTTGACCTTTTTGATATTTCTCAACGGACCTCTTACTCTGAATTCTGCGGTTGAGTAAGTATGGGCTATTTGCGTTGTATCCTACCTAAAGCAATAAGATTATTGTTTATAATAAAACGATGTTTTAGTTATTTACAAAATGCATCCAAGACAGACAACAAGTTTCTGGTGCAACGTTGATGTTTTTAAAGTTATAGCAATAAGGTTAAAGTTTGTGTGTATAGTTCATTGATATAATGCATGAGGTTTGTTGAACGAAACATGTATAATGGCAGTTGTTTCAACAATAGGTCTTCTAGTGAAGGGTCTCTCATAACTTAAGGTCAACTTTTTTGATGTGATCCTTTCATAAATTGGTTTGAGAAACAAAATTGCTGCATTTACTGCTATACTATCATTATTTTGAAGGTGTTCTTACATTATAGCGTATTATTTTTGTGTTTGAATAAATTTACCCAAAAGATGCACTTAAAGTTTTTAAGACTACATACATCAATAAGTTCACTTAAATAGAATGTGGCTTTATTCGATTTGATTTTATTCCGTTTCTTAAAGGTTTTCTGTGTTAAAAATAAATAAATATATATATTTTTAAGTTTATTTAACAACACACAATTATTCATATTTAATCTTTTCCTTTTCAATTCCAGGTCAATACAACCCATCCAAATACGGTGACGCCAGCGCTGGATTCGGTCAACAACAACAGAATTACGCCCATGCCCAAGCCTCCGCTGGCTTCAGACAACCCTACAAGTACTAAGCACTGAACATTTAGAATTATATTACCTAATAGAAAACAAGTGATTTATATTAATTTAAAAATATCATCATTAGCACCTTTGAATATTACTGTTCCTTTATCATAAGAACCATCATACATATTTGATTTAGTTTCTACATTCATTACAGTTTTGATTGCATGTTTAGCTAGTAAGAAAATTTTTGAATTTTATAAAGGAACATTTGCAGGGTTTCATTCTTATGTGTCATTGTTACTTGTACTTAGGGTGTAAATTTTGTTTCTATTGTTAATATCATCTATTCGTTGGACTGGATCGCTAAAATACTTTAAATGCAGTAAGCGACAATTGTGATAATTTTTGTGATATCAGTTCAGCGAAACTATAAATTACTTACAAGAAAAGTCTACGAATGATTTTAGTGTCGACGCAATAGTTATGTTGTTTATCGGTGAGAGTTTTGGAAATGTATTTTTTATTTATTCTATGAATAAAACAAAGAATATCTTTTACTAAATATTTTGTTTTTCTTTTTATATTTCTCGTAAATACAACGTGAAAATCTACATGTTACAAATATTCTTATATTCTATCTATATTTATAATTAGGTATTTTTATCTTCTTAGGTATTATAACAGTGACTGAAAAACATACAACTTGAGCTATAAATGAGCCTAGTGCTTCAAAAGTGTGCGAAGTCATTCACAGGCGTTAAAATGGCGACACATCTTTTATAGATTTTTTCCTCTGACAATATTGGCATTTGTTCAACTATAAAATATTCTTCAAGTTAAGTAACTTGAACTTTAGAGACTCGAACTAATATGGTACCTATTAAGTTATATTAAGGTTGAACTTACCTTAGATTATAAAATTCTAAGGGTTGAACATATCTCGAAAAGTAAATGAACCAATACCGACGACTATCGACGCAAATAAGCAACAAATGAATAAAGTCATTGTTATTCATAAAATAGAATCAAATTAGAACATAAATGCTATCTGACGACATGTGTATTAACTACAACGCATCCTTCAACTAACATTAAGTTCTGTTTCACTTTTCATAATATATCCATGTTATTTTAAAAGCCGACTTAAGAAAAACATAAAAAGTGCCACACGCATATTTTTCGAAGTGAATTCAAAGGTTTATTCTTATCCTTACTTCGTCTTTACAATATAAAGATTTAACAAATATAAATATTCAATCAACTTTGAACTAAATTACTCATAACTTGGATAAGTTTAAGCTAGTGTTGCCCAAATGCAAGAACAAGACGAGACTTGGCCAGTCTTGGTCTTGGTCTTGCGCCAAGACACCTGGTCTTGGTCTTGGTCTTGCAGCAAGAGTCTTGCAAGTCTTGCAATTACCTTTTAGACTATTGCTATTCATTAAAGTTTACTTTAGATCTTAGGAATTAACATAGCCATAGTAAAGAACAATCAGATTAATAAATGTCTGAAGATTTGATAAATAATTCGATAACTGCCACATGGTTATCAACTGAGCTATAAGCCGTCTTTCATGGGAGTAACTATTTCTTAATAAACATTTACGCTTTATAGGCTTACATGTGCTAAAATATGTAAAAAACAAATTATTTACAATATATTGACTGTATTTTAAAGAATCTCTCTAGAAAGAGATTGAACTTGTAATTTTGTTAATGATTTGGTCTTAAATTAGGTAACCACTTTTAATATTATGGCCTTTTTTCTTTTGTAACCGTGAAAAGCGTAAATAAAATTGTAATAATAAGTAAACAGCCTAATTATCAATTTCGTCAGTAAAAAAATAGTATGATAAGTTACTTTGAAATTTCATTGTTTAATAAAATTAAAAAATAACGAGTTTTTGTTAGGTAGTTTACCTAACACAGAATTGGAGGACGCGGAACCCTAAATCGGTGCACTTTTGATTTAGATACCTACATTGGTGTTCAAGTTGCAATAATTACCTATGTAGTTTTGGTCATCGCTTCAGTCGCGTCGGAGACTTTCATCGGCGTACTTGTGAGTTTTCAGAATTTAGAAGGTCAACTTACGTTTTCGTTTTTACGGGACTTTTGGTTTGTTTTTCATACTCGTTCTGTTTACCTGTTTGTTGTGTTTGTGTGCGGTCAGTGCAATGAATTCGTACTCAAATGCCGAATATTACGAGATGATATTGTGTGTTGGTGCTTGTGGCGGTAATCTTGCTGCGGCTCGGCGGCTTTATGACGAGCGCCACGTGTCAGGAAGATCTGAAAACCATCGACGTGTTCCTTCTTACCGGTGCTCCGCGGCACTTGTGAATCGGTTACATACAACTGGTTCATTCCATAGTGTGCCACAGGAAGGCCGGCCGAATACCTAGTCCATCGAGACAGAGGATATGTGTTTACGTCGAGAGTAACACGGTCTGTGTCGAATCGAATGGAGATGTGTGTTTTATGCGGTGGCCGGCATATCGAGACCCTGGACTGATAAGGTGGAGGTGAAGTGTAGGTAATGTTGACAAGTGAGAGCTGAAAGAGTGATTAGAACGCTGCCTCTAGGTATATACCTGTTTAATCTTAAATTGATTTAATTACAAGTTGACTCATATGCAGTCGAGGGCGCGTCGGCGACATCAAAATGTATTCTTGGAAACGAGAGAGAGTGAGAGGTAATGAGAGAGAGAGAGAGAGAGAGAGAGAGAGAGAGAGAGAGACAGAGAGAGAGCAAGTACGCCGGGACGGCACGTGTAAGCTTACAGGGTTGTAACTTATTCATTGAAAACAAATTGTTCAAATATTTGTATGAAAATCTCAATTTACGTGAAATTGTTTTTTGACATATTAATTGTGTTTTTATGCTAGGTTGTATGGCTATGTTTCGGGATTATACATGAATTACCAAACATCCTGTATAATCAATATTATAATATATACTTACTAGAATAAATTATTATGATATCTACTACCTATCCTTATCATTATCTAATCATAATACTACTTGCGTGATCAGTATAATGTATTCGTTTCCATTCTAAGCATACTGAAACTTATTTATTCTTTGGAACACCTGTGCTCTTAAAACTATACTTAGGCTCTGTGGCGGCAATCAATTAGTGTCAAATGTTGTGATTTCGGCGCGGCGGCATCGATTGTTGTATGTGATTTCAAAAGAAGCCGCCACCGCGTGTATCATCACCATGTAATTCCGAAAAGCGGCAAATTTCTTTGAGAAGTCAGTACAAAACCTTTGATGCCGCATTATCAAAGTGCAGATGGTTAAAACAAAACTATGCATGCACTCTGTTTGATTTTAATGGATATTTTTTATTCACTATGTATGCTTATGGTAGGTATTGGTCGTAATGCGCATAGGTCCAGTTTTTCATATTCTTTGATACAGTTTTTTGCGTCTCATAGAATTTTGAATTTTATAAAGGAACATGCTTAAGTCTTGCATGGTCAGTCTTGGTCTTGGTCTTGCTAAAAATACGGGGTCTTGTTCTTGGTCTTGGTCTTGCAAAAATGCAAGACCAAGACTGAATTTGGGCAACACTAGTTTAAGCAATGTTTAGGCAACTGTACATAAATTTGATGATGATTGTGCTGAATTTAATTTGATATCGAACTAAAAATATGACTTGTTGATAAATTAGTTAATATAAAAGAGCTCAGTACTTACATATAGCAAAATTTTTCCTCGATTATCTACAGGTATCGTAATAAAATCACACTAGGTACTTTTATTCGAGGAAAGGTATTTTTAATAACTTAAAAATTACAATCCATTAATAATATTACACTATAGGCAAAGAACATTATTAATATCGACAATATTCATTGCATTAAAAATCAAATTAGAAAACTGGAGCCATCTATTGACTGCCAAATTGTTAGAACGTTCCACTCAAGCTCTATATTATAAATGTCTAGTTCAGATAGTATTATAATACTGTGTTATAGATTTATGTTATTGCATAAAATCATGTTACTAGTGGACTTAATGCCTAAATTGTATTCTGCTCCACGAGTTTTAAAAGTTCAATCAGAAGCAACAACGATAAAACTGAAACATAATATATTAGTTTCCGGAGATCATTGGTGTAATAGTTCTTAATGCGTTCGCGAGATGGCAGTAGCTCGAGATCATACACTACTATTTGAACCTACCACTATTTTTTGTTCACGATCAATGAATAAAACGTGTCTTATTAGCAATAGTCACTGTATAGTAATACTATGGATTTATTTTCCGAATGATTTTTGGTCAAAGCTGGCCGGCAATATTTGAAAATTTACTTTTTGGCGATAGCATTCGCGTTGTGTTTTCTTACTCGTTCATCACCATCAGCCCTTTTACGTCCCCACTGCAAGGACTCAGGCCTACCTAATGGATAGTTAAGGAGGATGGGCCGTGGTTAATAATCTTTTTTTATTTGGATCAGCATAGGAATAGCAGCTAAGAGTATTTTAATTATTATAAAAATTGTCATTGCCAGTTTTCGAAATAATCTGAAGATTTTTGAAGAACTGCCTCTTTAAAAAAAGTCCTTACCCAATTTGGCGTTGTGGATGTTATATTACATATCCAACCACTTAGAAAATGTTTCATATGTTGCAGAACAATTATATAAAATTAATAATGATGATTAATATTTCCAAATTTATTAAAAAAAAAGTGGAAAGATAAGATATATTTCATATAACACAAAACTGTTAACGTTCTCCACTCGATTTTTAACCTTAACACATTAAGGGTAAAGTTCAACAATAATTGCAGAAATTTGATATGCCGCGGCGTGTAATCAAATATATAAAAAAAACTCAAATATAGAAACTTTTAAAAATAATAAAATAAAAAAGCAAAATTCAATCATTAATCTATATTCAATCATTAAGCTATATTTTGTATACCATTTGTACGAAATACGAAATAAATAAATAAATAGAGCTTTTATCACTTTTTGTGTGAATGTCGTAATCTTTTTATTAAATGGGTTATTTCAAAAAACGTTATTACTCAATCAATACATCCAAAAGTGAAGCAACCTTTGATGAACATAGTTCTTTCGATCATTTGCCGAAATAAAAATAACTTTCCACATGTGGTTTCACCCGGTTGGTCCCTAGGAAACTCTTCAGTGGGATAAAAAGTAGCTAATCCAAATAGCAACAAAACACATATCTCTACTTTCGCATTAATAATATTTTCGTTAAATTCCAAGATGTGATTTACAGAGCCGTTACGCGGAGTACACTTTCAGAAACATTTATTTATTTATACTTTATTGCCAATCAAAGCAAATGGTGGACTTAATGCAGAGGCATTCTCTACCAGTCAACCAGTAAGGATTAACAGATAATTCTTAAGGCAGTGTCATTGATGGAGAATTAAAGAATCGTTAAAGTTGAAATACTGATGTACAAACATACATATCCATATACAAACATATATATCACTACATAAACATACATTCATCAGCATAATCAAAGAGGGGTTAACAAGGGCTTGCACGAGAGTAGTCTGGTCGGTAGAAAATCTTCAATCGGTATAATGCACCAAGTTCACGGCGAGAGATCCTAGCCATGTTGCTCTCCGAAGAGTTGGTGCGGTCCTGGATGAGTTCCAAGTTTCTAACGGTAGAAGCATAAGGGATCGCCACACCATAAAACTGCAGATCATTAGCGTACAGAAGATAAAAGAGGTAGTTAGAGTAGGTGTGAGTGAGTTGATAAATATGGACAAGAAAAGTGGAGAAAGAACACCGCCTTGTGGTACACCGGAAATTAGGTCAGAGCAGTCGGAAACGGATTGATCGACCCGCACGGCTTGCCGGCGCTCACGAAGATAGAAAGAGAAACATTAGTCTAAAGCATAAATTTAAGTCACTATCCACCTCCGTTTCAAGATTTTAACTCCTCCTGCCTCTCACTCAACATATTTCAATATCGTTGTAAGATATTTACCTTAATCAAGTTTGCTGTAGGAGCAGACGCTACCTTAATACCATAACTGTCAAATGGAACGCATTCTTGTTGGTTCGACAAGACGTCACTAGGCGGCGCGACCGTCTTTGTCGTAATAAAAAAGCAATAATAAATAACGAGATGTATATTCTCTCTTCTCAAAAAGACTGTTGGGCATTTTTACGCATATTAAAATAATTCGTTTTTAAATGACATTTTCCGGCAAATTTAGTTAATCTTAAACGTATAAACGCTCGGCGAGTGAAGTTATAGATTTACTCAAAGAAGACCACTGCAAAGCTGGATCAGCTGGATGCTGCGAAGACTTGACGCCGTTAACAAGGATTGCGAGTTCCAAGCAGGAAACAAGGCGATTCTTAAGGTAAGTGATTTGTTTCTGTGGCTTCTCGATTAAGGTTGATGTTTTTGAAATGATTGTAGTATATAATACAATCATTTCAAAAGCATCTCAATTCTATAGTCCATTTTATGCAAGTCGAAGAGTGGTTTGGTACATTACCGCCACAACGGTATGCAACGTAGAAAATTTGATTTTAAAAAATATTCAGTTTCCTAGGTAAGTAATTTTGGTTTGAATTTGTGAAGTGATCACCCAATCTAAGCCGGTTATCACTTTATAAATGAAATAAAATTACTTAACTGTGATCTTCTTTATTATTGAACTATTTACATAAAACATAAGCGTTAATTGTATTATAGTTTCTGTTATTATATTAATTTCTCTATACAATCATTAATATCTGTATCCTGAATTAGCGTTGAATGAACCTTGATGATTTGCTGATCCAAAGCCAGATCCTCCTTGACCCCTGTTTGTTCCACTGTTATCAGGTTTGTATTGTCCTGTAAATAGATTACATTGAAAATGGTATTACTAAAAAGTATGGTTAGTATTTAAAATTAAAAATGCTTCAATAAATTTTTAAAGTTGTCTGAGTAAATTTGATTAATATATGTTCGTCATATCTGTGTTTCCGGGTAAGACTTCCTATCGGGTACAAGTAGAAGGTCGGTTTTCTTTAACCGATAATAGATAGATAATCAATTTATTTTGAATCACAAATCATTTTATAGGTGTGCTCGTGCACACGTTTTATAAAGTTGCAATAACAATAATATAAGAAATACGAATTAATGTGTGCGCCGCAGCGATATAAAACAGTTTAAGTTCAGTAATTCTTTTGAACGCAGATTTTCAGCCTATATGTCTCGGGTCTCAGTGATGTAGTATATCCGTTGCTTTAGACACTCCATTATAGCCTTTAACACTCCATTATACGAGGGTTTTAGCTATTCGTCTTGGAATCTCAGCCAATCTATATCATACTGTCTTAAATGTTTGGTTTTGTACAAGTATATTCCTTTTTTAGTATAAAACTGTTTTGTCGCCTATTATAACTTATAGGTATCAATAGCATTTATTTTTAGTTTGGTGGTATTTAATTAAAGAATGGGGACTTCAAGTCAAGACGATAGATCAAGTATTAAAATCAAATTACACTATCAACTCTTCAAAAGAGTCGACTATGTATAGAATAATAATAATATTTATTATATACCGTCGTCGAAGATACCAGAAGCTTCATCCTTTGCGTTTTGCTCCAGGGCTTGTAGAATTGCTTCAGGTGTGGGAGGAGGCACGGGGATATGATCACCCTGGGGCCTAAAACCACCTTCTCCAGCGGTGAAGACAATGGTGTACGTGTTGCCATCATCACCCTTGTAAGAGAATCCACCTTGCGTCTGCGCAGCGTTACCAGCTTCTTCAGCCCTAATTCCATTCGATGTTTCATAGCTATAATGGAATCCTGGAAGAAAGCACGAATTGCAACTTTAAAAAAATATGATAATCTAGTTAAATTGGAATCAATTTTCTACAAACAAGATTCTGTTTAACTATTTTAAGTAGGCAGGCATCATCTCTTTTGAAACATAGTCTAACCAATCTGCAAGTATCTCAAATATTATGGTATTTTTTAAAAAGTATTACAGGTTACAGATTTCTTTTACAACTTTAGAAGTTTTTTTTTTGGACTTATTAAAAAGTTAAATTTTTATGTGTTATTAGTGGGATTACTATCACCTCTTATAGCATTGTTTATTGTTAGAGATTGCTAGAGCCGTACAGAGAGCGGGACAGCGCTATACAGAACAATAGCGGTGTCCCGCTCGCATACGGGCGTTAAGCCCTGGTCATATGAGTCACGTGTAACTAAGAGCATAATTGGAATTTAAGTCTAAATTTCAATAAACAGGGCCACACCATTTTCATTAATATCCTGATCTTGTTTCACGATGACTGCATTTTTCTCCGATTCTTGCTGTGGTCTTCTGTTCCCGTTATTTCCTGTTCCTGATATACCACCTGGCCCTGAACCCTGTTGGTTGAAGGAACCCTGCTGGTAACCTCCTTGGAAGGATCCTTGGTTCTGAGGGATGTATGTATTGGAAGGTTTAGCTGGAGCCTGGTTTTGTGGAAGGTAGTTGCTAGAAGGTAAAAGGGCTGCAGAAGAGAAGGCGATGCAGGTGGTAAAGATTATCTGTAAAATAAAATAAAATAAAATATAGCATTAGAAATATAAGCAGAAAAAGTGATCGCCATTAGCGTAAACTTACTACTATTGTTAGAGATCACGAAGAATATTGTTTCGATCCGAGGTAATGTTGAGCGACTTCGATACGAAAAAGTGATAAAAGTGGAAAATTATGGTGATCTCACGTCGTTCTAATTCATTAATGAAAGTGTTTCTAAAACTGATCTAATCCTTTGACTTTTATCTATCAACATATAAAAAAGTTGTTGCTAAGCTTTTTTTAATACAACAAAAAAATTGTTTCTTCTTCTGATCACTTATTGATAATTGAAAGGATGGATAGACCGATGTTTTTTTGTAGAATCGAGTCACGGATTAAGTCTAAAGTATTTCTTGTGTAATACTACTAAATTATTTGTAAAATTTTACGTATATTATTGCTTAAGGATGCAATAATATTTTTATCAATCATCTAGATATTCGACCTCGATATATTGAAAGCTAATTTAGGTAGTAACACTGCCAGACTCATTTTCCAAAAGGTACCTTATTTGATTGAGACAAACAAGGTAGATCAGATTTGCTATAATTATTATTTTATTACTTAATAGAATCAACGATGATAAAATAAAATAACAAGGCTGATAAAGGAAAAAGTTAAAAAGCTTCATAAAACTTCAGGGGTAGTATTTTGGAACTAATTTCCGATATAGTCAGAAAGTTTTATAAATGCCGGTCATCGATAAGACGAGCAAAAACTTTGCCATGTTGGCTGAATTTTTCCATGCTTTGAAAGCTATCGGCAGTCATTCAGCAGTCGTTGGTACTCACGAATCCGCATTGGGTCCGTGTGGTTGGTGACAATGCCCCATGTTTACTCTGTGGTATTATCCGTAGGGAAGACACAGATAAGAAGAGGAAATGTTGTATATCTTACCAATTTCATGGTGATGTTTATTTCACTACACTCGTTCCTATGTGAAACCTTTTAATAAACTGTGCTTAAAAAACTTATCCCAGCGGCTTATATACTCCGAAAAAATACGAAGAGGGTCGTTTAGTAAAAAGGATGTTAGCGGATGACATCGATATAATGGGACCTTGGTTCTTTAATTGTACAAGATTTTTTTGGTCGATTTTTTACTTTCTACTGGCGACGCCAATGATAGTATGAATATGGAATACGAAGCTTACTAACAATTTTTTATCAATCCTATTATTTAATATTATAAATGCGAAAGTGTCTTTTTTTTGGATGTTTGTCCGTCAATCATGCCGAAACTACTGTACGGGTTTTGATGAAATTGGGTATACAGTTAGGGTATTATATATATAGCTGACTTAAATACGATAATTAGATTTTTGTTCCACCAAACATTTCCTAGGGACCACACTAGTGAAGCCACTGGCGAAAGATAGTTTTTAATTATTTACAGTGCTAATAAAAATATATTCATAAGATGTAAATACTGCTATTTGAAGAGAATTAATTTGGAAGAAGAATGTATATTGCGCCAATCCCAAATAAATAATTGCGAAACAAGAAAGCAAATAAAGAACATTAATGTCAATCACTATAAAATAATTAGTTTATGTTCGAAATATGATCAAAAGCAAGTAAACAAAAAAAAAAAATATTACGATAAGTTGTTTTAAACTTTCGTTCTCATTAATACAAGAGAAATATTTAGTAACGGTAGTATTTCTCAAACTATGATATTATATATATTATTCTCTAACAGGTATAGCTAAGAGATGAGTCTAGAGATTAAAACATTTTGTTAGAAGGGTGAGAGCCAATTCAAATTTAGAAACAACTGATTTACGAAATTGTTACTTTATACGTCATTTTATCGAGTTTAAAGAATTTCAGGGAATCGATAAAAATTTAGTAAAATACACATTTGATACTTTTATATACAGAGATACATTTGCATGTTATCACTGTCAAGTCGAAATTAAGTTCTTTTAATATGTTCTTCCAAATAAACGATTCAAATAAACAAAATTAGGAAAAGTAAATAAAATATTTCAACTGATAACTGATTATAAATTAAGCTTTATATAATATAATAGATAGATTATAGCCGTAAGCGTCACTCGGAAGTGACAAGAGCAGAACACATTTCTAGTACAACAAATATATTTAGACAACCAGAGCTTTAAGTAAATTAAAACTAAATTACTTTACTCATTTTATTAAAGAAAAAAAGCTATTTAAACGACATCAAGTTTTACCGATTTCTGAAAATTCCCCTAATTTTACGTAAGAATTAATTAAGGGAAATATTAATACAAATTAATTTTTTGATGGATTTTTTTAGAAAGCCTCTCCTTTCTTATCTAAATCATATAAAGATTATCGTCATCGTTTGTAAACTTTTATTTAAGATAAGTTAAGATTTGATAAGATAAGAGATCTGCAAAAAGTGTTCAATGCAAATACAAGTTTATAAGAATGAATGAAACACACTGTTCATAATAATAAGTTTTGTAGGGATCTCCGACTTTATTATTTATATCTTAATTTATAAGGTAATAATTAATGTAGACTTTAATTTAAATGTAGGCATAAATTAATTTAAGACGTGAAGTATTCCTATGGATAATATTGTTACAATATAGTCATCTAGTTCATAAAACCAATCTAGTTTTGAAATATTCTTTTTCTACAAAAACTGGTTCAATATTTCTTATTTGTATCTTTTGTAAGTATTGAAGTCATATTTTTTTTCGGTCGTAATCACATATTTATTGGGCGATTAAGTATAATGGGCATTTCTTTATAAGCACACTTCCCGACTGCCCATAAAAATCTTGTTACTTAAAATTCCGAAGTAATAATTACCCATCTTTAAATCGACGTCTGTATAATTACGATGAACACGTGAAATCGATTAATTTTGAGTCTCCTAAAACCAGTTTTTATTGAAAAAAAAAAAACAGTTAAAACTTGACTTGTGTTTAATATAATATGAGAATCGATTTATAATTTTTATACCAAAACGTACTTATGAAGAAATCGATCATCAGTCGATCGTTTAGTAATCGTATATCAATTTATAAAAATATTCATCCATCCATTAATAATTATATTGATTATGGTGGCTGTAACATAATTCATAGTGTCATACTTTTCTAATTGCAGAAAACTAAATTAATTATTATGTTACTCTGAATCCTTTATCATTATAAATTAGTTTGCTCTAATGCGCTCTTATAATGCAATACGTGAATCTATATGTCATATGAAGGTTTTTGTTTCACATTCTCAATTACAACGTATTGGATTTTACTATGTTCAAAATCAGTTCGAAGTCCTTTCAGCATTTTTGGAGTAATCCGTGCTATTTTATCTCTACCATTTTTCCGTAAAGATGATTATTTTGATGTCTTGGTCTAAGAAAGTCACTTTATCACTGAAGAGAATTCCAATATTTAAAATAAAATAGGGAAAAAAGAAATATCCCCCGTTAATATTTTTATCGGTTCTTATTAGTACGAAATTTACAGAGTTTTGATATTCACAAGTCAAAGATAATGATAAATGTTACCTGACTCATTCGTATCATTCGAGTTGTCAGAAGTAGACTAAATAATGGCCTTCACTTGACCTTGATATATGTTTATCTCTCATATAGGCTTAATGGAACTCCAATCAGCCGTCTATCCATCACGCCATGTAGTAATCATAATTAAGTAAATATCTACTTCCGTTTGTGTTATAATTGTAACAAATACAAATTGAGTGTTACCAAGTCCTTTAAAGAAAAGAGTGTAATTTACTCTGGAATAATAAAAATTGCACTCAAATCATCATCTTCCTTATGAATGGAATAGAAAAAAGAAGAAGAGAGCTTTATTTTTAAAGCTTGATATTTACTTGAAGTACTAAGGGCACGCACTACACATTCTACCCACTGTGGAGGTCAGGCGCTGGACCACTTGATGGCAGCGTAGCGGAAAAACTTCTAGCGATTGCTGAATATGATTGTGCGATTAAGTGAAAGTGTTAGTATTATTTATGGATAAAAAATTTTTTATAGAATAAGTTTTTTGCAAATTATTAACAATTGAAAAACTGAAAAGTAAATTTAATATGTGTTACGATTGTAAGTACTTTACATTGCCAACAGGTATTCCAGCACCTGCCTTTCACATTGGGTACTGAGTGATATAAACCCTTGATGTGTGTAATTCAATAAATTCAGCTTTCTGAATATATTGAATTACACACATCAAGGGTTTATATCAAAGCCTTTGCACGTTTTTGTTACGACCTCTGAGACAAATAGGGCGAATAACCCACTACGCAGGCTCAGTGTGGATTGCTGGGTTTTAAATCAGATGCAGCAGTTCCTTTCGAAGCACGAAGGAGCTCTAACTTGTGGTAACCCATCCTATGACTGACCCTTGGAAAAGTTGCTTAACCACCATTGCATTGCAGATCGAACACACGAACCACTTATGACGGGTTAGGTGCTTCGATGTTCCGCAGTCGTAGGACAGAGGGTAGAAGGCGTCGCTATGCGCGTCTACCCTCGTCTTGAGATCGATTCCCCAACCCCGGGGTCTTTGTTCGGTCCAGTCTGCGTGCTCTATCTCGGACGGGTATGCAAATGCAGATATGCTTACATATTTGCAGTTGGAAACTTGTCTGGGTGGAGTGCGTAGGCCGGGCCTGTCACGTCGCCGTCTCTCTCTCTTTTCTCGCCGGATCTCTAAAATTACTTATAATACAATTACATATCACGTTTTTAGGTCTTCTTTAATAAGTTGAACTTACATATTCCTATATTTACTTTAAACACACTTTATTTTACAAATTTTATACAATCATAATATGCTATGTAGGTACTATCAGAAAAATGTTACGAACTAACATTCATAAAGAGCATATCGCGTTACACGAAATTGGAAAAATTGCAAATAACTAATAGGATCTTGAAGGAGGATCTTAAAGGTCAAATACAAAAAGTTTGGATGCCAACTTAGACAAAATAAAACGGCGTGGTACGACAGACCGTTACACACAGAGTGATCAAGTTCTTCTATTTAAAACAGAATGTTAGATCTCTTCTTTTTTCCAGGGGTTTCTCTCTATTTAACATTATTAAAAGTATGTTTATTTTTAAAAATCTGATCTATATTTAGTTTCATTAATTATGTTGATAGTATACACAAAATTGTATGGTATATAAATTTATGTAGTATAGAGTAGCTCGGTGGCGTAGTGGATAAGCGCCGCGGCCCGCGATCGTAGTCATTAAGCAACTTTCGCAAGGGTGGGTCACGGGACGAGTGACCAAAAAATTATTATCTCGAGCTGCTCCGTGCTTCGGAAGACACATTAAGCCGTTGGTCCCGGCTGCATTTGCAGTCGTTAATACCCTCCAATCTGCATTGGGCCAGCTTGGAGGGTCATGGCCCGTCTTCCTTAAACACCCATAAGAAAGGCCTGAGCCCCTGCAGTGGGGACGTAAAAGGGCTGGTGATGATGTGATGATGATAAATTTATGAGTGATATTTCCCTCTCCTGCTTAGAATTCTTCGTATATTGATGCACTTACAAAAAATCGAAAGCTTGAAGTTTGTAGCGTTTTTTAAAGTATGAATGATGCATGAAAAAACAATAAGGCCAGGTGTTACTATACTTATGTGCTTCAAAAAAATTTGAACCAATCCAATAATAAATTTTAATGGTTGCTAATTGATTTGTAAATTCAGCAGAAATTATTGTAGTAGAAAAACAAAAACATAATTGAGCAATTATAATTAAAATGTTTCCACATCATTTCATTGTAATTATTTGATTATTCAGTAGTACTAGTAGTACAGTAGTATCGTTTTATTTAGTATGTGATAATTATAGTTATATCTTATTAAATATTTCAACGACCACCATTGGTTTAATTTACAGACTGTTTTTACGCTACCAACGACCATTCGTTCTCAGCATTCCACAGTCATCAGTAGACACCTACTAGACACGGACGTTTGTTGAAAGCAGATCAAATTGTTAATCAAACCCTCTGTAGCTTTACTTGTTATATTATTGAACTCTTCTCTCTATTGGAGTGAAATACTACAAAAAGAATGAATGGTTTTTTGTTAATTAAAACCGAGGGTACACATAAGTAGCAATTAACGTCCCCAGTAATTTATTTAGAAGAGTACTCTGCGTTTAGAACTGCGTTTAGTAAAACGAAGCTGATTGAAATCTAGCCTTGTTAAGAAACTTTAAGTCAAAACTCCAACTTAAAAGTAAAAAAAGGAAATGAAACTTATTATTTTTTACATTAGGAAGTAACTAACAATTAGGGTGGAACACAGAAGAAGTTTGTGAAGGAATTCAGAGGAAGTTTGCGAAGATGATGAGTAATGTATAGAGATCCCATTCCCAATTCCAAAATTATCAGCTCGAGACTCAACCGTAGGTCAGGATCTTAACGCATCGTGGTGGACTAGAACCGCAAATATTGTAAAGAATACAAAGTTGTAAAGAATACAACAGATATAGTCAGAGTTATACATATGTAGATATATTTCCAGGTATAGCGAGACGAAGGTAAGGTTATAGCTAACAAGTGTCGAGGACTTTTACTGAAAGGAAAAATCTAAATGGAATGAAATAAAACTTCAGGCAGCTATATTCAGGCGAGGGTTTCCGTTGGTATAAGCTAAAGAAATATAAGACTGAAGCTCACAGAAGTTGTAGATTTTCTGTAAAAGTTACATTTTTAGCAAAGAAAGTACAATACATATGTACGAAGAATTAACTTCGTAACGTGATAAAGGTATTTAATATAATCCCTGAATATATAACAAAAAACACAGGTCAGATACGAGAACCTAATCAGATGTGACTATTGTTTTGTCTAGTCAACAAAAAATTACAGATATTTGTGTCTATTTGCCAGAGTAAGAATATTATAATTATGATACGCATTAGGGTAAGAGTCAAACGACTAACGAGCACGATAATTCAGATGTTTAATAAAAATGTTTTGTATGTTTTCAATGCGAGTAATGTGAACTGCATATTGAGGCGACCAAATCGAAGAAGCGTATTCTAATATACTACGAACATAAGCAAATGAAATCGATTTTAATGTCAATACATCTTTAAATGATTTGCATGAACGTAAAACAAAACCTAGATTTTTATAAGATTTATTAACCATTGTATCAATATGCATAGAAAACAACATTTTCTTATCTAAATTTACACCTGAATCTCGAATTTCTGTAGAATTCTACTACTATCAAAATACTATCAAAATTATAAGTATGAACTATAGACTTCAATTTACGAGTAAACTTACACAGTGGCATTTTTTGTTATTTATTTTGATATTATTTTGATTATAGTAATGAAACAAATTATCTAGGTCCATTTGGATTTTCTCACAATCGCTGGGTTTTTTTATAGAATTGAACATTTTCTTATCATCGGCATATAATAAGTGTTTAGAGTTTTTTATGTAGTTTGATATGTCATATATATATACATTGAAGACCAATGGGCCCAAATGTGAGCCTTGAGTAATGCCACTGGGTATCATTATAAAATCAGATCGATAACTACCCAGAACGACTGCTTGAGATCGATTGGCTAGATATGATCTAATCCACCTGAACAAATCTCCTTTGATACCCAAGTCCTGTAACTTGGTAAGCAGTATGATGTGATCCACGCGATCAAACGCCTTGTCAAAATCAGTATAATTCGGGGGACTTCTTAATAGCTTCTTCAGTATTATTTATGCATGCGTTAAAGCTTTCCTCCTATATCATACGCTGTCATTTTCGTAAAAGAGAAAATTCATCATAATCTAACGGACGTTTATATTTTTTCCACCTTGAGTGGGCCTTCATTTTTTCTTTGTTTATTCGAATTAATTGCTTACTATACCATGGAGGATATGTCCTATTTTTAAACTCATTGTAATCAGAGGGACGTGTTTCTCTATGCAATAATTAATAATATACTATAGTTTATCACGAACTAATTCAGGATCACTCTTCATCAATTTTAAGGTAAAATAGAATGCCAATCCTATTCATACAAAAATTTGTTAATAGCTGTATAAAAAAGTAATGGAGGGTGAGATTGGTCTATTGCTTCTAAAGGATCAGAACAAACATCCACTATCACAGGTAAAGTCGAAAAAACGAAGTCAAGAGTAATATCATAATAATTTTTTGTCATATTGTACATCTGTGTAATGGTAGGTTTTCCACAAGGTTTACAGCTATATTTTGTACTTCAGTACTACCTTTTTTATTATACTTAGCGAAATTATTCATCCATGATATACACGGTTAATTGAAATCACCAACCAATAAGTAATGATCACCATTAGTTCTCAAAAATTCATCTGAGACAGCATTGATAACAGATTCCACTCCTTTAGGCAAATTCTGTTGATCCAGTGAAATATACACCATACTAATATGTAAATTATTTCCCTTACTAATTAGGAGATGAATTGTCAACATCTCGGCAGGTAAAACTACTTTTGAAACATTCCTTACAGCACCAAACTCCCTACGAATCATG